GAGAGAGAGAGAGAGAGAGAGAGAGAGAGAGAGAGAGAGAGAGAGAGAGAGAGAGAGAGAAATCTAGCAGCTACAAAACAATGCTGGCTTTGAGTTAACTAGGGACGGTTGATCAATTTTGTCTAGTTCGAGGAAAGGGAAAGCACACTGACACACCACAGAGAAAGCTAGACAGACAGACAGACAGACAGACAGACAGACAGACAGACAGACAGACACACACACACACACACAGACAGACAGACAGACAGACAGACAGACAGACAGACAAACAGACAGACGGACAGACACACACACACACACACAGACAGACAGACAGACAGACACACACACAGACAGACAGACAGACAGACAGACAGACAGAAGTAACAGACGGGGAAGAAAAGAAGTAATGACATATCCTCAAATCACCAACAAGATATTATTACATATTTTATGATATATCAATCAATCAATCGACTGGCGTTCATAATCCAGCTGCAACAAAAGCGCATTTTCCTTACTAACCATATAATTTGTAGCTTAAAAACAGACCTAGTCAATACATAATGTCAACCTTGGGTAAGAAAATACAAAATAATAATGGATATTATTCTGACATAATCTATTCTTCAGTAGGCTCCATTTTCCTGCAAAGATCTAGATTCCAAACTTTGGAGCAAATCTGTGACTTCAAATTAGGCTATAGAGCAAAAATAAAACCCAATTTAAGAAACGTGATACGTGTGGAAGCATGCCAGTTTGTGACAGGCCTCGACTGTGCCCTGTATGGTGGAAGTTATCACTGACACTCTCAAAAAGAGTAAATGAATGATAGATTGATTGTATGAATTGAATTTTATTTTTCAATTGTTTTTAACGAAATAACATTTACTGTTGAAATTGTACAAAGTAATTTGCTATGATTTGCATCCCCCCCCCCCAAAAGGATATTGAACAACACAAGCTGAATTGACATTTTAGAGGGTCTATCTCTACACCACCATTTTGAAGGTGGAGAATAAAAAACTTCAGTTACAACAACAGTGTAAAAGTGCTGTAATTATGACCGTCATCAAGATACATTAGGCTACATATAGGGACTTCCCGTGAGGCTACACGTAGGCTTACGATCCACATAATATCTTCTTGAAGATCATTATAATATCTTTTCACGTGAAGTAAAAAGAATTGTCCATTTTACTCGAACTAAACTGAAGTCGTTTCTGTTTTTAAATGAATAAGATGAATATTTGGAGTGATTTTCATTTAGTCAGAACACAACGTTTTATGTTACTGTTGTATGTTGTACTGTATTGTAAAGCGCTCAGAGCCTGTGTACTTTAATCGGGGTTGAGCGTTATATAAATGTCATTTATTATTATTATTATTATTATTATTATTATTATTATTATTATTATTATTATTATTATTGTTGTTGTTATTATTATTATTATCAACTATTATTATACACAGAGGAAGAAACAGCGAATATATAATGATAGAGTATTTATTACACTTCCCAATTTGGAGTACACTTCTCCAGTAAGAATTAACACCAGCATGCATTCCAAGCCCCACATCTACAAACGCCATTTACCCGACAAAGCTCAAAATGGAGGGGAGTCATTATGGCCGTCTGTCGCTCTATCTTCTTTTTTAAAATGTAAAAATAAATGCTAACCGAAACAAGAAACAAGGCACAACAGAAAAAAAGAAAGGAAATAATTCAAGAAATAATATTTCTTTCACAGCCCCCATACTTTATTCCAACAGAATTTTTGCAGTTGCGAGCGCCGTAAAACCTCTACTGAACCAAACAATCCCAGCAGAAAGCCCACTATCAGTTACAAAATCAAACTTTACTGCAGGTACTGCGCGAGTGTTCTTTTGTAAGGGTCTTAAACTTTGACATTGCTTCACAATATTATGCCCTGACAATTTAACCCTATCCGTACGTCGTGTTTTACTATCGTATCCATACGACGTGGGGAACTCTGTGCCACCACTTAACTCTATCCGTACGTCGTGTTTTACTATCGTATCCATACGACGTGGGGAACTCTGTGCCACCACTTAACCCTATCCGTACGTCGTGTTTTACTATCGTATCCATACGACGTGGGGAACTCTGTGCCACCACTTAACTCTATCCGTACGTCGTGTTTTACTATCGTATCCATACGACGTGGGGAACTCTGTGCCACCATTTTCCAAATAGGAAACTTACTCGTTAATCCGATCTGTACTCTTTGCATAGCAGTCTGTCAAAATGACTTTTTGAGAAATACTGAAAGTTTCAAAGAGATCTTCGTACTAGAAACATTCTAAAATTTTAAGAATACAACTCTGGGAGTACAAAATGTCATCAAGGCATTATGATAAGGTTAAACTCTCAAATAATGTCTATTTTAAACATATATTAGAAACGGTAATCGTCATTTCCTTTGTATGCTCAGTGTCGACAGTAAAATGTAAAAACAAAATATTTGCTTGCTTGATAGGTACACAATGCCACGAGGCAGATAGGCCCTATCCAATATGTAATTATTTGTCGATATCGTTTGAATTCAGTTAAAAAAGAAACTGAATACCGATCTAAAAATCAATCCAAACTTGTCTCTGTATTATTTCTAAACAGAATAGCCTACCGATCTCAAAATCTCAATTTGGCTATGTATTATATGTGAGGCAGCGTGGTAGAATCAGGCTCTCGTCAAAATAATCAAAGTGAAGAAACTTACATTTTTCCGCAGGTTTGTGAATTTTTATCAAATTTTTGTTTTTTGGCTCAACACATTTCATGCCCATTAAAAAACTAATTTCTATGTGGATTTTTCTGAAAAG